AGAATTGCTATGGGATGACAAAGTAGGGCATGATATTTCAGTTGTTGATGTTGAGACAGGTGAGATTTTGCAGGAAGTGAAGGAAAACGGGGAATTAGACGTTGTGGGACAAGTTCAGCAGACATCATGCTATGCTGTGGAGGTGTACAATGAATTTATACAGGGTGACGACTCGTATGTTGTGGATGAAGTTGAGAGTGCCAGTGAAAGTGGTGAAATGGAAGCGGCCACAGATGTTGATTGGTCTGACTACATTGATGAGTTATATGTAAATGAACTTCATGCCGATTGGTCTGAGCACATTGATGTTCCTATTGTTGATGCTGTGGTACCTGATGTGGTCCTCCTTACTGATGAAAATGTGGAGCTTGATGTGGTTTCCCTTGCTGCCAAAACTGTGGTGCCCCATGTTGCCGAAATTGTGGAGCCTGATGTGGTTTCCCCTACTGCCAAAACTGTAGAGACTAATGTGGTTCCCCTTGATGAAGAAAATGTAGTCTCCTTGCTGATGAAACTGTGGAGACTGATGTCGTTCCCCCTGGCAAAGAAGTACATACGTAAGTTCAGATCATATCCGAATTTGTCGATGAACAGCTTCATTGAGATGGTAAAAGAAGAATGCATGTATGAGATATCGAAGCATCAATTTTATAGGACAAGGGAGAAATGTTTTGAAGTTATCAATGGTCTTGTATTAGAGCAGTATAAGATACTATGGGACTATGGGGAGGAGCTCAAACGTACAAATCCCAGTACTACAGTTCACGTTGAAGGTTCGGGGCCTACATTCAAGAGATGTTATGTATGCTTAGGGGCAGTGAAAGAAGGTTTTAGGGCTGGGTGCAGGCCTGTGATCGGCTTGGATGGATGCTTCTTAAAGAGTGATCAAGGGGGGCAGTTGTTAGGTGCAGTTGGAATTGATGGGGAGAACTGCATGTTCCCGGTAGCATGGGCTGTGGAGGATTCTGAGAACAGAAGTAATTGGGAATGTTTCATTCAGCTTCTGACAGATGACATTGGGATGTACAATAGCAGAG